AAAAAAAAACAAAAAAAAAAACAGCTTGTCATCAGATGATGGTTTTTGGCATTTTGTAAATCCATCTAGTCATTTTCATAAATGCTCCCAGCTGTAAAGGGAGAAGTTATACTTCAGAGAGGTCGTCAGTCCATCGGGAAACCCACACACTCACTGGAAGAACATGTAAACTCTGTACAGAAAACTCAGAACCTTCAGCTCTGCTTTGGATGCACTGATGATAAGTTGAAAGAAAAGTAAAATTGTTGACTGAATTACACAAGACAGTAAAAATGTTGACAGTCAGTGATGTCAAAAGCAAAATTGTAGACAATGAGTCCAAAACTAACATGTGCATAAAATATGTATATAAGCATTTTTGACTATAAATGCAGTTAATTTCCCATGATGCCACCCTCAAGGCCCTTTATTTCTAAGGCAGCACATCAGCACAATGGCTAAACAATGGTGCTACCTACTGGCTAAATACAGGTAATGCAACCATATATGCTTATTACTACTTTGTACATGAATCTGTCCTCCTGTATTATGTCATACTACTACGTCTGCTGCTTCTAAATTGTTATGAGGTCTTGGCTGCAGAACATGTTTAGCACTATGTATTCAAAAGCACGTAGCCTCTTCCTCAGTGATAACAACTTAATGACACGTGGCACTTTAAGCTGTGAGGTCCACAGTTAAGTTGTGATGGATATTTGGTTGGCAAAATTATTACCTATCGGAAAGATTCCAAAAATAGGATACAGCTTGCACCTGTTACTTAAAGGAAAGCCAAGCAGATAATACAGAAGAGCTTTTAATGTCGATGGTTTCTCAGTGAAGGTACATCCTGTGAAGGAGTACATCAGGGTTCTGGTATCCACGTCATAGAACGAGACCTCTCCTTTCTCGCAATCGACAAACACACCAACTGTTTTGGGTGTCTGTCTCACATGCAAAAGAAGAATCTCGGAATCACAGGCAAAATATTGCACAGCCCATCCAGTGTACCGTGCGCTTAATGTCCAGGCTCCATCTTTGGGGGTGGGAGGAAAACCCATGTGCTTGTTCACAGACTCTTTGACCACTCCTAAAGTCCAGACTTTACTCTTGCTGACACAAACCTCATAGTAGAATCTGCCTGAGGAGAATCCTTCAGTCGCAAGGACATAGGGTTGATTTAAAAATGGTCGCTCAAAAAGAGGAGAGTAAGGCCGTAAACGTATATTAAGTGTTAGTTTTTTGCCACCCTCGTACACCTTGAGTATTGGATGGGCTACATGGGGATCAAAAGTTAGAGTCATCGAATTACACAGCTGGATCATCATTAGCTTGTCCCGAGGTGGTCTCCACTCCTCTTCAAAATCATATTCTCTTGATATCCCTTCTCCTTCAATAAAATTGTCTCTCATTAGTGGTTCTGCTGTAGTAGCCTGTTCAGCAGCATCACAGCCATCAGACGAATTGAGCTCATAAACAAGCATGCCCACTTCTTTACTGAGTATCTTTTCTATCTGAGCACTGTACTTCTTCACCATCCCCAAATATATCTGTTGACTCATTTTAGAAAGGCTGTCTGTAAAAGGAGGCACACCGTGGGACAGAGGTTTAAATACGTCCTTATTGAATGCAACGTAGTGGAGGGACGAGCAGCTGTGCAGGAAATGGAGATGGTCTTCTGTCTGTAAAAACTCTTCCAGTTCAGCTATCCCCCTTCTTAACTCGTCTACTTCTTCTTCCAGCAGAGCTATGTGGGTTTCAGCTTGTGTTTCTACTGCTTTGTGCTTCTCTTGGATTAGCTTAATTAGCTCGTCCTGGTTTTTTAGCAGAGAGGCCACCAGAGCTCCTAAAACCACAGCAATATCTGCTACTTCTCGTTCTGATTCATCCTTGTTTTGCCGAGCCGAGCGTTTGGCTTCCTTCACATGACTGGATTTGGTCTTTTCCATTGCTTTCATTTCTGATGTTAAGCTCTCAAGCCGGGCTTTCCCCTCTCTGAAAGCACGTTCGGAGGGGATGGTTACGTGTGTCACGTGGTCGTCTTTCAAGCACATGAAACAAATACACACCTGATCTGTGCAGCAGAAGAGCTCCAACATCTTGTCATGCTTCTGACACACCCTGCCCTTCAGGTTTGATATGGGGTCGATCAGCTTGTGCTTCTTTAGGCTTGCAACTCTCTGATGAGGCTCCAGATGAGGCTCCAGGTCGGCCTGGCAATATGAGGTCAAACACACCAGGCACGTCTTGTGGGCCTTTCGCTTTGGTCCGATACAGACATCACAGGGCACCTCCCCCGGTTTAGCAAGAACCTCTCCATCCTTTACTCTCATGCTGTTGAAACACTCCATCATATCTCTGAACTCTGTGTTGACCTGAAGCTGAGGTCTGCGGCGGAACCTCTTCTTGCAGAGGGGACATTGCGTCACATCACTGCTGTCCCAGTACTCTGTGATACAAGTCTTGCAGTAGTTGTGTCCACATGGAGTAGTGACAGGATCAGTAAATGTGTTAAGGCAGATTGAACAGAGGAACTGTTCCTCACACAGCAAGCTGCTGGCTGAGGCCATGACTAAAAAACAAACGAACAAAGAATGAAGACGACTTAGAATTTCAAATAGACAAAACATTAAATTTTATATAAAAAAGTGTCTTTCAAGGTAAAACTTATACATATATATGGCTAGCAACGCTGAGATTAATCTGTTTGACCTAATATTTTACTTTAGTGAAAACACAACTGAAAACAACATTCTGGATATCATATAATTATTTGGTTTTTTTTGTTAAATTCCTTATTTGTAAGAACAAAAATCAACAGGTCAACTCTTCTACACTTTAGTAGTAACTTTAAACATTATAGCACCGTCTTATATAAAACCAAAACCAAAAAATTTAATTAAGACATTTACTGAATTACTACAATATGCTACATACACTCACCAGCCACTTCATTAGGGACACCCTTTCAAACTGCTTATTAATGCAAATATCTGATCAGACAATCACATGGAGGAAGCTCAGTGCATTTAAGCATATCAACATGGTCAAGATGAGCTGCTGAAGTTCAAACTGAGCATCAGAATGAAAATTAAAGGTGATTTAAGTGACTTTGAATGTGGTATGGTTGTTTGTACCAGAAGGGTTGGTTTGAGTATTTTACAAACAGCTGATCTGCTGAGATTTTCCTGTACGACCATCTCTAGGGTTTACAGAGAATGGTCTGAAAAAGACGAAATATCCTGAGGAAGCCAGTTTTCTGGGTGATAATTCCTTGTTGATGCTATACAGTGGCTACACAGCCAAGGCACTTGGAAGAGCATCTTGAACCCTGTAGCAGATGGGCTACAGCAGCAGAAGACCATACTAGGCGTTACTCCCATTTACAAAGAATGGGAAACTGGGCTGCCATTCACATATGCTCATCAAAATTGAACAACAGAAGATTGGAAGATGTGTCTTGGTATATACAACATGAAGGCATGGATCCATGCTGTCTTGCATCAAGCTCAGGCTGATGATGGCTGGATAATGGTGTGGGGGATATTTTCTTGTCATACTTCGGGCACCTTAATGCCAACTGAGCATCATTTAAACGCCACAGCCTACCTGAGCATTGGTGCTAACCCAGCCCAGTAATGTGTAACTAATGACGTGGCCAGTGCATGTATAAGTGATACTTCCGGGATTATCAGATTGTAAATGTGGTTTGTTTTGTTTTGATATTTCATCTGAGAATTATCTCTGCTTAAAACAGGTTATTCATGGAAGAAAAAAGAGCTTGATGTGTAAGACATAAATAGAAATAGAGTCAAAACCAGTAAACAAAGATGCTGGAAGTTGTAAGATATGCTTATATGCACATTCATTATTTCTCCACTGAAACTTTTAAGAACAAAATCAAGGCAAGTAGCAACCTATTCTAGTCTATGCTGGCAAAATACGGAACTTATCCCATGGTGGAGATCCGGAAAGTCAAAGTTACATGTTATTAAAAGACAAACAGTTTTTAAAAAATAAGTTTGCTGCTCTTTGCCTATCGTACTAGCTTTAGCAAAGTGTTCTGCTTGTGACTTACTGCACACACACACATTCATAAAGCACAACCACAAAACCCTGAGATTTGTTGAAGTTGACTGACTTTGCGGATTAGCGTTTGGCACATCGCTAACACGAGGCTGTGTACGTCGAAAAGACGACGTTGTGTGGACGTTTGTTCACAACCATGACCTAACTATACTAGTTGCCAAAAAAAAGAAGACGAGCATAAAATAAATCTATATTTCTAACTTTATCAGAGACCGTCTAAGAGCTCAGCTCTACGCGGAAACAATGTGGAAGTCCGGGGATGGGTTCACATTTCTGCCGTCGTACCTCGCCCAGTTTTGACCGTATCACGTCGGCGTTTCAACTATCTTTGCGGAGTGTTTTAAAAGAAATTACACAAGATAAAAAAAAATGTCAAAGCTTACCTGCCCAAATGTAGCGTTGAGGTTTACAACAAAATGCAGCTTTTTCACATTAGGCGTGTAGTTTCATTTCCCATTTCATCATCCATCAGTTAGTATGGAACGCCAGGACTGCCATAATGAATTAATTAAATACACCATTAAATAGTTAATTAAATGTGTCAATAATTAATTAAATGTGTCAATAATTAATTAAATGTGTCAATAATTAATTAAAATGTGAAATACATAAATAATTAATTAAATGTGTCAATAATTAATTAATTACATGTGTCAATAATTAATTAATTCCAATTTTAATTAATTATTGCCACATTTAATTAATTATTTAATGGTGTATTTAATTAATTCATTATGGCAGTCCTGGCGTTCCATATCCATAGGTATAAAGTTTTTATTATTTTTTTTTAAAATTTTATATTATTTGAGCATAACAACCCCTAGTTTCTTTATATTTTACTTCTAAAGAGCCAGACTTTCTTAGGAATTTTTAAAAAGTGGTCTTGAGCAATAGTTTTAAAATGTTTTTTCTGTCCAGTCCTTGTGTTGAAGGGTTTTGTGTGTGTGTGTGTGTTTTGTTTTTCTTTGTTAAGCTAACACTGACATACGAGTAACTCAAGCATAAAAAATAAACCGAACTCCAGGGATAAACCAGTGCTGTGCCTACACATCCCTGGATTTAGTCTATTCTAATTCTTTTCTTTCTGATGTTACGTTCTCAAGCCCGGCTTTCCTGTCTAGTGGGATAATTGCAGAGGGAAGACTTGTCACATCACTGCTGTGTCAGGACTCTGTGATACAAATCTTGTAGTAGTTGTGTCCATATGGAGTATAGACCGGATCGTTGAAGTCATGCAGACAGATAAATCACAGGATGATTTTGGTTTTAAAAAACAAACATTTTAAAGCATGACTACATTTACATTGTAACTAACAGCATCAAAAATGATATGCAGAAGGGGAAGATTTCAATAACGGTAGCACCTGCCAAAATTGCCAGAGCCAAGTTGACCACCTTCATCTGCTTTATTTGGCAAAGATAAAGATTTTATGCCGGATGCCTAGCACGGGTACAGTCAAATGAAAGAGGCATTCTTGTTGAACTGACCAACATAATTGTTTATAAGATTGTGTCACTGCAGATTCACACTTGAACTGACTAAAACAGTGATACAGCAAAAAATTCCTGTAGAAAATCACAAACTGAAATGATCAGACACTGCACACACTGTGCAAACTGTCAGCCTGACTGATCATCAAGTATTTTGAGATTGGTTGTTAATCTATAGGCTACAGATTTATGGTGCCAAAAACTAATTTCAGTTTTTTTATTTATTCTAAAAAAGTAAAGAGTATCGTTGACAGTTCTACTGGCTGCTCTCTTACCTCGATGAGGAGCACTGCCCTCAGTGGTTCCAGCAACTTGAGCCTTGCTTCTGTCACATTTTCCATATTTCTGTTCTCCACGACATCATTGGATGCCTTTGCACAGTGCAAAGGTGCCCCCAAAGTTTTGCAATTCAGATATCAGGTACTTTAGAAAGCAGTTTTAGATAGCAATTGTCATTTTTCACCATCAGGGGTGACTTTGAGGCATTTTGCCTTATTACTCCTACAACATTTTCAATCATTTGAGTTGCTGGCACTATTGTGCTTTTTCCTGAGATGATACCTTTTTACATCATTAATCAGGCTTACATGCAAGTTGACTCTATTAGTGTGGACAGTCCTTACACGGAGATAACAATGATCCAATAGCACCTCTGACTTCACCTGAATCTGGGCCATTTCAAAATCAGTCCATATTCTCCCTTTCAATTTTCTTTTGATAGCCAGTAAATTAAACAGCCTTCTCTGAGAGTGAACCATCTTACTGTTGTTCTCCTTTTTGCGTACTTTACTCCCATTTCCACCACCTCCTATCTCACTTTCTCATCTCATCTTCTGTCCATTACCAGCTCGGCTGAGCTGCAGCCAACTTCTGGAGAGTCTTGCAAATAATTTAATTTCTGGGGAATGATAGATGAGTTTAAAACCCTGTGGTCAACCTACCAAAGCAATGGACAATGCACAAAAGAGGTGAAGAAATGAGAGCAACTAGGGTGTAGTGGATGGTGATGACTGTTGGGGTGATTTGTGACAGAAGGATAGCAGCAAGAGTGAAAGGTAACTATTGTTTAGAGACAACGGGTTTTACAAAAAGACAGGAGGTGGGGCTGGAGGTAGCAGAGTAGAAGATACATGGCCACTTTGGGAGTGACCAGGGTTGACAAAATTAGACATGAGTATATCAGAGGGACAGCTCAAGTTGAGCGGTCTGGACAAAAGGTAGAGATGGTTTGGAAATGTGCAGAGGAGATATCTTTGCTATATTAGGCAAAGGATCTTTAACATGGAGCTGCCAGGCAGGAGAAAAAGGAATACCATAGAGAAAATTCATAGATGTGGTGAAAGGGATGCAAAAAGCTGATAGAGAGAGGAGTGTGCAAGGCATAGGGTAATATGGAAGCAGATGATCTGCTCCTAAAGGGAAGAACTGAAGCAAGAAGAATAAGGGCAAGAAGAAGATAGCTTCCGATCACCTTTTCCTGGAAAAAGTTACTAAAACCAAGAAACACCTGCCGTGCTAGTATTGCACACATATAATCAGACTTTATTATCTTCTTAAGAAAGCTCCATAAACCTGTTTTACATATCTGATAACATCTGGAAATATATTCCCTTGTCCATTTCCCCTGTCTGGTCACTAGCTGGCCCCATTAGATGAAGGCATTGTGGAAAAAAAGAGCCCAAACAGTAAATTAGAGCTTTTATTGCATTCAAATAAAGTGTGATCTTTAGTGTAAGTCACTGAGAGGGAAATTGTTTTCACATATTTTGATTTCACTGTTTAGAAACATGACAAAGAAGAATGAGTCTTGTGTGTTCTGCTAGAGTTAGAGCTCAACAAACTGGGGACTATACTATACTGGGGCGATCGTGGCTCAAGAGTTGGGAGTTCGCCTTGTAATCGGAAGGTTGCCGGTTCGAGCCCCGGCTTGGACAGTCTCGGTTGTTGTGTCCTTGGGCAAGATACTTCACCCGTTACCTACTGGTGGTGGTCAGAGGGCCCGGTGGCGCCAGTGTCCGGCAGCCTCGCCTCTGTCAGTGCGCCCCAGGGTGGCTGTGGCTACAATGTAGCTTGCCATCACCAGTGTGTGAATGTGTGCGTGAATGGGTGGATGACTGGATATGTAAAGCGCTTTGGGGTCCTTAGGGACTAGTAAAGCGCTATATAAATACAGGCCATTTACCAGGCCATTTATACATGTTACATGTAAGGAATGCATACAAATCTGTTAAAATGGATGTGTGCGCAGTCAGTTACCCATGAAATGCCCAAAACCTGCATGAAAAACTCTCTAGTATGAACAAACGTGCATTTTAAGCTGTTGCAAGCATGCTTTTATGGTGGCGCAACTCTAAAAGTGCAATAGTTTACACATGTGCATGTGTATATCAGTGAATGCGCATCATAAGCCACGGGAAGTATCCAGTGCTCTTCATGGCAAAGGTACTGATGAACAAATTGATGCCTGAGGTGATGAAGACTATAATGGTGGTTATGTTGTTCAGGTAGTCCAGACGCTTTTGTAGAGTGGAATTGTTCAGGTTCCGACGGCCTGTGTCGCACACACACGCACACAAACACAATAGAGGAAAAACAGGCATGAGACCAGATGATGACACATTTCTTTTGACCAAAATGCCTTATATATATTTTTAATCTGCCAAAAGAATAGTATAGATGCAGGCCCAAAATAACAATGTTCAGTAAAAATACAATAAACCAAGTATAGCTTTCTTTATAATCACTCGTTTTATTTAGCTTTTTATTCACAAAGATATTTATCCATTTCATTTTTTTCTATTTTTCTGATGTCAAAGATGTTTTAAAATAAGATGTATATTTAAAATCAAAACAAGCTTTACACTTTTACCGATTAGGCACATAAAAGAAGGGAAGAATACATGTAAAATGCACAGAAAAAGTAGAGACATCTACAATAAAAAAGTACAATATTTGCACAAGCATGTCATTGGAGCAAATAAAACCATGCATGTTTAAATGACAGCTGGTTAAAGTTAAAAATATTTTAGTTCGATTACAGTGTGAGAAATTTGACAAGTGTCTGAATAGGAATTAAGATGCAATGTTTGAACACATGGGATTGTTTTCCAACTTTGTCTTAGGCCAATGTGTCATGCTACTGCACAGATGAAATACTGCTGCAAAGCATGTTGGTGGGTCTGTGCATGACTTGGATATATTTTCATAGTTTTGTGTGTCTCAAAAGTGGAGTCGAGCCAACAGCCAGCGGAAGAATCCGGTCCTCTTGGAGCCGAAGAAGCTGATGAAGAAGTTAATCACTGTGGTGGCGAAGATGATGCCTGTAGCAACGTTGTTCAGGTAGTCGAGTCGTTTCTGATTGGACACCACGTTAAGGTCCCTGCGGGCTGCAACATGCACACACATGCACACAGACAGACACACAAACACACAATTTCAAACATTTCAAACACAACCACCACTCTCACAGTTAACCCATACGTACAAACGTTCAGTAATCCAAACAACGGCAATATTGTTGGCTCATCACTCATGCTGCCCTCCATCCTCTTTGTAGTCTATGTGAGTTTGACTGGTTCAGATTTCACTGTAAAACATAAAAACTGAACAGGATTAAACCAAAGTTTGGATTGATGAGCAAGCTCTGTATTGTGCCCATTGGAGACACTGGACTGTGACGCTAGCTCAAAAAGTACACCAGTCCTGTAAGACTTCCTTGTTAAAATGCCCAATGTACGTCCTGGTAACAAAATAACGTTTGGGCTCTACTGAGGTTTTGCATTGAACTTAACAGCAAACCATGTGATGTCATTTGTCTCCATTTTGAAAGTGTGACAAGGTAGGGTCGAACGAATAAGCTCTCAGTCACATAGTCTTAGAGAGCAGTCCGTGACTATCAGGAAATTATCGATCACAGGAAAAACGTAAAAAAAAGACTGGGCTTACAGAACCAGCTAGCTAGCCAAACTTGCTCGCATTGGCTAGCATCTTAGTGCTCCACTTTCTCAACTTATTTTTGTCTAACAAATAAGTCACTTAGGTTTTTTACACCCACCTTTTATATATAGTCTGTGCAAGCAGCTTATTTTAATATATATACCATAAATCTGTGTGTTTTATAATGGTAAACAGCAAAGGATAGAGCTCAAAGATTGCGCAGGAGGGAAAAGTTAGCCCTGCTCCTTCGAAGAGAAGCTGCTCACTGCTAGCGAGAAAGCTAATGAGTATATTTAAAAATCAACTTAACTTTACTGGCATGACTGAGAGCTTGCTCCCACTTAGCTCTAAGACTGAATGTTGAAGCAATCTTTGACTGTAAAGTGTGTATACCTTTTAAAAACATTCATTCATCCACAGCTACTGAACAAACAGCTATTATGCTACAGTAATAGCTGTTTGTTCAGTGGCTGTGGATGAATGAATGTTAAAGGGGACTACTTTGTGGCCAAATTTGGTGTGTGCAAAGTTCAACATTTCATCAGCAACATTAATCAAATGTTTACGTTTATCAATGTACATACATTTGTCTGCTTAATCTGTCTCATAGAATAAAGCGCTGAAATAGCCATCGCAGCAAGCAGCTGCGCTGTGTCCCAAAGGCCGATTTAATAATGTTGATAATGAAAGTGAGGCAGATGATGCTGGTAATTAGATTGTTCAAGAAGTTCAAGCACCGCTGACAAGAAGGGAGGCGGGTCAGCTCCAGTCGAGCTGCACTCACACATACACACAAATGGAAAATGCATACATACATTGCACACACACAGATAACCAGAACACAACCATGCAGACAGAAAAAACAGAGACAGACACACACATCTAGTTGGTCCGCTGGCCCAATCCATCCATACTGAATTAAACAATACAATAGTAATATAGTTGATTAGTTAGTGAGTTGGACAATAGGTTACACTGGTATGTGTTATGATTGTGTGCTTGTGTGACCACAACCTAGTTATGTGTGTCAGAATCTGTTCTTACTTTCTAAACAGGTGTACATACTAGAACCATTGCCTACGTTACACAGTCAGAAATGCATCCTGGCAAAGAGTCCAGTGCGTTCCATCCCGAAGACAGTGATGAAGATGTTGGTGACAAAGACGAGGAAGATGGTGATGGTTAGGGTGTTGTTCAGGCTGTCCAGGCGCTTCTGGTTGGCTTCTTCATTGAGGTCTCGCCGGGCTGCAATGCACATATACAAACACATACCAAAAATAGCAACAAAACGAGAGCATAAAGTGCAGGGAACCATCATGTTTCTGTAGTTCTTGCATATAAAATGCATTAGATTGCTTATGGATTTTATACCTAAAGCCACTACCTTTAAACCTGCACTAGCTGTATTTGACTACAAACAAGTGTCAGTAAATTAGTGTGTTAATATGATGGGTTAAAAAACATGGAAGATGGATTTCTGAGTCAGAAGATGTCCAGCCTAAATCTATAATGCCTACCGATTATGATGATCAGGATTCCAGCCACTATCTGAAGAGCCAGGGAAAAGGAAATGAGCGTCAGAACAGCGGCGTAATACCTAGAAACGAAAAGGAAATGCAATGCAAACAAAAGGATAGTGAATAGATAATATTTTTGGCAAACATAAATGTGATCATTGAGAAACAGCTCACAGGTAAACAGTTACGGTTTTGCCTTCTTCATATGTACATATATTGTACCTGTAGCCTGCACCCTGTTCAATGACTGTCTTCATGTGTGTAATGTTAGCCAGGAACAAGGCGATGTCCAGCATGCCTTCAGCTGCTGTTTTCTTAGTAGCATACAGGTTCATGTTCAGGTTGGAGGCTGAACCACCCTGCAATAGAGAGACACAGATTTCAAGTGGGTTATCTTACAATTTGTATCCACACACTTCTTTTCAAGTAAGTAGAAGTATAAGAGTGTAAGATACTGATGGCAAAATGCAGTCCCAAATATTCAGTCATTTGGTTACTAAATACCAAGCCATGCTTTTTACAAACTACATTTAAACTCATTCCATCCATTATAATGCAGCAGGGATCTTACCTTGTAATACAAAACGTTTTCAGATAACTGTTGTCATGAATTGGTGCTATTTAAACAACACTGAATTGGATTCCTTAAAATGATCTTTTTTTAAAGTTATCAGAAATTATTAAAAATATAACTCAGTAGCGTTCAAACACTCATCTCACCCCCAAACAATTAATCAACAAATATAAAGAGCTAAGACAAATACTGTACTGAACATCATTTTCTCTAACAAGTAACTGGCCACAAGAGGGCAGTACAGACCAAGGATACGGTTACAGAATAATCTATTATATTATTTATCATATTCAATATTTGCAACCAAAGGAAAACCAGAGATATGATGAGTGGGAAAGTTGGTATATTGAGTTCATCTGATACTCCTCTATGCAATCTATTAACAGACAAATTAACTGTTTGAGAACTGCAAGAGAAGAAGTGCATTAGGCAGTTTGTGGCTCATGTTTCATAAATTGAAATTGTGTGCATGTGTGTTGATGTACGGTTTTCTGTGCTTCTGTGTTACTGCAAATCTTCTTATCCCCCCAGGACAATGATTTGGTAGAGCAGCAGGAGATGAGTTTGACTAGAAAAGAAAGAATCGGCCTGGTTCCGTGGTTTTGGCAATTTGGCAATAAAAACGGTGTGTGTGTGTGTCTGTGTGTGTGTCTGTGTTTACTTGAATAATTATTGCTATGAGGACCTATTTGAGATTTAAACCATTAAGGCGAGGACAGATTGAGTGGTCTTTCCTTTCCTTTAAAGGACTATTCAGAGGTTTGGATTTGGTTTTAAGGTTCAGGTTTTAATTACACTATTACACAATTTGGAGAGCTTAGAATGTGCATTACCATCTTTATAAAGGTAGCAATAGTGAGCGTGTGCAGTGAGACGAGAAGAAATGAAAACATGAGGCATCATTACGTTACTGTATGACTCACAGCACATATAAAGGGCTACAATTTTCTAGATCTAATTGTCCTGCTATAGAACACAGACTGCAGATGCACATATTGGATTACATAAGACTTATCTATGTACTAAAGTGCTCTGTTCGCAAATGGATGGCTGTGTGTATGCATGTGTACCATAAATCTGTTTTTCTTCAGCCCGCATAGAAAGAGAAATGCACTTAGGGAAGACATAGATCACATAAATGAAGTCAGTCATATTCACACTAAGGGCACATTGCACCTCATGACCTCACTGTGCTTTAATGTGCTTTGCTGCTCCAAAATAAACAGCGCTGACATTGTACATGTGCAGCAATTGTTAACACTTCAGCTCCTCTGTTTGCGCCGCGTCTGTTTTTATAATCACCAACCAATTGCGACTGATATTAATTTCAGCTTTTAAGCCATGTATATTCCATACACATGTGCATTAAGAATGGTTATAGCAAGTATCTGACTTTATAGACACACTCACAAGGCCTTTCATTAGGTTTAAATGGCCTTTAATGCAACCAGCAAGTTACATGGTAGTGACTTACAGAAAGGCAACAGTAACTCAAATAACCACTCGTTACAACCACAGTATGTGGAAGAGCATCTCTGAACACTCACACAATGTTGAACCTTGAAGCAGACAGTAGTCAAGACTGCCTAAACCAAGACCAAGACAGTCGGAGTCAAGACCAGAGGGTATCGGGACCAAGACAAAGTCGAGACGAGACCAAGACTGAGACAGAGACTTAAAAGTCTTTAAACTGCAGCCAGATGCTGCTTTGTTTACGGGTGTCAGGCATATTTATGTGTTTTTGCGATGCACTCGCACAGCCCTCCTCACCGCTGTCTACTGAGTCACTCACTTACTGAGAGGACAGACGCACGCTCCACTTGACTGTCACGTCTCTCACCCTCTCTGTTTTTGACATAATGATATTATCCTATATCCTCGCATGTGATTGGCCACAATATGGAGGGATCGGAGCATAGCTGAGCCACTGTGTGAGAGCTGAGCAGTGAAAGGAAATGAAGTGAGGAGCCGGCGCTCGCTCAATGGGAGTCGACTCTTCTGATTCACTACAAAGCACTCTCTAAGCACGGCTCTTAGAGCTGATGCTTTTGCGCATGACACATTATCGAACGTTATGCTGTGTGTCATGGATACTGTTGACTCCAAATCTCCCGACCACTATGTCGCTCTGAGACAGCAAGACCGAGACAGCGAGACCAAGACTGAGGGATCCGAGACCAAGACAAGACCAAGACCACGTAAAAAAGTGGTCTCGAGACAGAGACCAACTCTAGCAGATAGGCTACAGCAGCAGAAGACCACACAGAGTGGACTAAAAAAAAGGAAGCCGAGGCTACAGTGTGCAAGGACAATCCACCAAAACTGGGACAGCAGAAGATTTGAAAAATATTAAGTACATTCTGCTGATGTAAACAACATGCAAGCGGTGCTTGATCCTGGCTTGTATCATGTATGCTACCTGTAGTAGCAGCTGTGTGATAACATCATGTCAATATGGACCAAAACCTCTGAGCAATGTGTTGAACGAATGCTTTTAGGAAGCAGTTAGTCTTCAATGTGATGATCTTTTGTTGGTTATATATATAAACCATCTTCATCAGGCTCATCTCTTCCTCTCAGGATGATATTACTATTATAATCTATCACAGGCAAAAACTATTGCATAGATCATGGTAAAGCATGACATGGCCACGGTCAAGCCACAAACCCAGTGCTGTAATGCTATGCAGTAATAAACACTGTGGTTTTGACACCCTCTAGTGGAAATTATCTGTTATTGAATAAATGTGGTGTGTTTTGTTGCCATGCCACAAAATACATAATAAATCATGTGGAAATCATAACAATAGCAAAACCTGTTCCTATTTTTATAAGTAATGGCATAATTTAGCTCGGGGGGGGGGGGGGGGGCGGGTGGCTGCAGCATTGGACTTCAACCCAAGAGAAAGCTGTTAATAGCCTGTCCTTTTTAAAACATAATTCCATAAACGTAACCACTTGTTTATTATCTTAAACCCGACAATGAATCTGAACAAAGCAATCTTCTGAACTGAAATGTTTGTAGCTCTGCAAAAGCCAAGAGCCAGCACACCCACACCACACAGGCCTTTGCCAGATGTGCCGTGCAAAAGTAAGCAGGGCTCACATTGCTTACTCCCTCTTTCAACACACCTTTAAAATAAGTGAAGCTGGTTTCAGATTTGTCCGCTTTTGATGAGGTGGTCAGAACACAGAAATGTTTGGATGATCGTAAAAGCCTGGCAGCAGTCGCTATCACGCTGTTTTGCCAGTTTGCTGGCTCAGTGAACATATGGAAACGCTCCAGAAGTTGTAGAGTAGGTGCACTCTGAAGGATGTAAACACAGCGTTCTTAAAGGTCACATGTTTAGGTGTCTTCCTTGCATTCTGACCACAACTGCTGCTAGCGTAGCCATTGTGTTTACATCCTCTTCCTTTCCTTTCACTCCACAAGTTCTGGATGTGTTCCTTCTGCATGGAGACGGCGATTTGCAAGGTGCGCTTTGGTAGCAAATAGCTTTCACTGACACTGTTCATATGAGGTCTGTGGCTTCTCATAACTGTGCTGCTGCAGTTTCTCGAGCAAGCTGTTGATGCTGACATTTCGGTTCAAGTGCCGCAAACCAAAACAAACTGTCCTTTCACCAATGAGGAAAAAGTAGCTCTGTTTTTACTCTGTATTTTTGAATATACTTTACATTGCACTTTATCCAGATGTTTACCAATCCCAGGATATAAAGTCTTGAAATGTTTCTGTGGTTGGCAGTTTATCTGTCATAATGTTGTGATTTTCATCAAAATAGTGCCTGTGGTGTACTTTAGTGCTCAAAGCTTGATTTCATCCTCTGGTACATTTTCATCCAGACTGCGTAGATCTCCGAGAAACTACTCGGCAATTCCCAGAACTGTAAGACTGTCAAAACACCATGAGCACATGTACCGCAGCTTTTCTGTGTTTAAGTGTGTGCGTAAGAGAGAGAGAGAGAGAGACAGAAACTTGGTAAGAGTTAGGAGAGAGAGCACAGAAAGAGAGAGAAGCACAGGGTGGGTAGTGAGGAAGTGAGAAAAAATATGCAGCATTGGAAAGAGCGAGATGGGGAAAAAATATGCCTGTACACTGGCATTTTTCCATCTTTTTCTCCTTTGGGGACTCGTGGTCGCACTTTATCAACATCAGCCTTGGGAGTGCTGCCAAAACACACACACCCACACACACACACACATACACACACACACAGACGCACACCACAACCAAAACATTGGAGTGGGCTATACAGATTTACTTACCATGTGTGTTCATTTAGTGTAATGTCTCTCTAAATGTACTGACTGCACTTTTATCATTCTTAATCTGCAGTTATCTTTATTTATTAACACTGAATGATAGACAGTTCTTTTAACTGTTGTTTCACACACGGAGAGAAGTCCTTATTTGCAGCAGGGTTTAGGAGAAGCAGTTCGATGAGGTTAGGACAGTTGCACACATTTAGGCTGTAAAGCTGATCTGAGACAAGCTTCATCATGAAGAACCAAGATTTTTTTTTTTTTTTTCATGCAGAATTATTGAAAAACTACTAAAACACCATTACACTGCCACTACCAGCCTGAACTGTTGCAGGATCAAGCTTGAATTTTGTTTACACTAACAGAAACTGAGGCTCATCAGACGAGTCAGTTTATTCCAGTCTTCTGTTGTACAGTTTGGGTGGTTTGTCTATACCAGTGGTGTCCAAACCCAGGCCTCGAGAGTCCTGCAGGTTTTCGATGTGTTCTTGATCCATCACAGCTGATTTAAACTAATCATTT